CTCTGTGCTTGTTAGGTTTGGTTTCCATTCGTTTTCAGCTCCGAAAATGCTAGCAGTGAGAGGGGAGCTGCAAATAACTCAGAGGGACCAGTTGACTCATCAGTGAGTTGGATTTGATGTGGACTTGCAGTTTGCATTATTTTGGAGTTCTTAAACATTAGTATAACAGTAATTAGTTTGTTTAATTTGCCTTTTCTAGTTCTATTTGGATAGACTAAGGGTAATAGATCACCGCTTGAGACGTTGTTGTAGTGTGACGAGCTACTTGGGTTCATTATGTTTAAGATCCTATTGATTGATGAAATTTCCAGCTCATTTTATATTTTGTTTGGAACTCTAATTGGAACTTGATTTTCAGTAGCTTATCTGTTGCAATTTCACCTTGCTTAAGTGTTCTCTTGCCAACTGCAGGGTTTCCAACTTTTGATACAAGACCTTGCTGACGCAACCGATGAAGGAAACTTACGAGCATCAGAAACAAAGGTTAGCTCACTCGCAGTAAGAGAATAGAAAAGGTTCCATTCAATTCGTGCTAGCTAATCTCATTGTTGTATTGTAAAAAAGCTTTCTTTCAATTTGTGGTTATGAGTGTTGACTGAGTGTTTTGTTCTGGTAGTTTTATGCCATAGAATTACTTAACTTGTCCTGCTTCATTGGGTAAGAAGAATTTCCCCATCTTTTTTGGTCTTACTTGATCTTCTTTTGTTGCAGTCCTTAGCAAACATGCTATTGTTTCAATACCTAGTTAACGTTTTTGAAGGAGATTTTCGACCACGTAACAGTGTCTATGAAGGTAAATTGATATGTAATTATCGGTTATTTTATGCCTCTAACTTTCTGGAAGTTTCAATTTGCTCGTTATTGTTTGCAGATACCATGAACTGGGTAGTTCTGAGAGAGTCTTTATTGAACATGCTTCTGGTATCCCTTTCTCTTTCAAGCCATGAATACTGAAGAGCCCGTTTTCCATTGTTGATTATCTGGTTATTAAGTGATTTTTATACCACGAATCTTGCCCTCAAAATTAAGTTATCTTTTGAAGGTGTCAAGAAAAGTAAACTACAAAAGCTTGATGAAGGATTGCTTGACCATTATGTGTAAACTCTATCAAAACTGT